ATTATCTGTCACATGAGATGGGGATGACTATTGGGGAGGGGGAAAGGGAGGAATACATGGAATACTATGGTGATATAAAAAAACAGAAAATATCAATAAAAACTTTTTAAAAATTCATTGGAAATTAAAAAATTTAATTCTAAAGAATGGATGAGTCAAAGAACAAATCATAGTATCAATTGGTAATTTCATTTAAAATAATGACAGCAGCAGTATGCCATAATTTCTTGATGTATCCAATGCAGTCATTAGGGGAAAATTTACATCTCTAAACTCCTTCCTCCATAAAAGGGAAAAAGAACATATCAATGTGCAACTATAAAACCTTAATAAAAACAACAAATCAAAACCCTCTAATTAAATACCAAAATAAATATCTTGAAAACCAAAGAAGAACTTAATAAAATTGAAAGCAAAAAAATTAAATTAACAAATAAAACTAGGTATCTCTTTTGAAAAAAAAACCATTATTAACTAATTTGATTTTTTCAAAAGAAAATAATCTCTAGCATCACAAATGAAAAAGGTAAATTCACATAAGAAATAAAAGAAATTAATAGAAAATATTTTACCCAATCATATGCCAAGAAAATTGACAATCCAAATGAAATGGATGAATATTTACAAAAATAGAAAATGCACTGATTAACAGAATAGCTAAAATAGCTCAATCTCACAAAAAGTAATTGAACAGGCCATAAGTGAACTCTCAAAGAAAAAACCCTAGGGCCAGATGGATTTACAAGGGATCACAAGAAAATTTTGCAAAACAAAATCAATGTAGCTAATTAGAAGAGAAACCGGAAACTGATTTGCAGTAAATTTCTCTGATTAAGCTCTTATTTCTAAAATATAGGGAACTGATTCAAATTTATAAGAATAAGAGCCATTCCCAACTGATAAATGGTCAAAGGATATGAACAGTTGTTTCCAGAGGAAGAAATCCATGCTATCACTGGCCATATAAAAATGTTCTAAATCACTAATAATTAGAGAAATTCAAATTGAAACAACTCATACCATCAGATTGACAAGGTTGAGAAGTGGTGGATTCAGAGTGAAGACTTATTTTTTAGTGACATGGCCAACATGGGAATTTCTTTTGCTTGACTCTACCTGTTTATAACTTTTTTTTCTCATGGGGGCTGGGGGAGAGGAGGGATAGAATGGGAAGGTGATTTTTTTTAATTGATTAAAAAAATTAATTTTAAAAAAGTGTCCCTTAAGAGCAATGACTGGTTTTGGATTTGTATTTGTATCCCCAGTGTTTAGAATAGTGGTTGGCACATAGTAAGTAAGCATCTAGCAAGTGCTTTTTTAAAAATAATTAATTAATTAATTAATGGCCTAAAAAGGCAAGAAGGTCCCTATCATATATAGACTAATTTTTCTAAAACTTACCTAAGAAGGCAATGAAACTATCCTTGAGACTTAATAGGCTAAGGTGACCAAGGCTCAAAGTGTTGATGCAGCTTCCTAGGTACTTCCAACTCGATAGGTATCTATTGCTGTACAAATTCATGTCCTCTTCTGAATTCTGAGAGTGTGCCACAGTGACAAATGAGGAGGGAGCTGAACCTACCTAAAATGATGCTGAATCATTATTGAATGTGCTTTCTGTGTAATTGTGGAGTAAAATGCCTTTCACTGAGGGTTAGATGGCCTATAAATGATATTTCGTTCCCATTTGGAGCCTGAGCCACTGGCCCAGAAAGTAGTAATGGGGCCTGGGACACTAGCAGTGTGAAAGTAGTGTTCTACTCAGGGTGTCTCATCATGAAGCCTTTGTTCTCCTCATCCTTCTTTCTCTCTTTCCACCCACCCACCTTGCATCATTTGGTTTCTAGTCCCTTGGTCCCTTGGCAAGGAAGTTGTGCTTCAGATAACCCACAGTATAAATATGGGCCTCTTGGCATAGTGCCAGATCTTCCTGGCTAATTTCAATTCCTAATCAACCTATCTTAGTGATATCACCAATCTTGATGGGCTCCTCTGCAGCCAGTGGCTAGGATGTTCTCAGTGGATATATATGGATCTGGCTATTAACTGAGGCAGGGGGTGGCTTAATGAGGGTTGATTCCCTGCAGAAAAGAGCTTTATAAAACTGCTAAGCAGCAGCTTTGCTTCCTTATTATTACAGCATGTGACCTGTCTAGGCAGCTGGGACACCAAACATTCATTCTTGTCCATCTTGGAATGGCTTGTGGAGAACTCCTATGGATGAGTGGCTATGAACAGCTTGAATTAAATTGGGCAAATTTTACAGAGTACTTCTGGTTCTGGTGACCATTCCCTGCCCCCTTTCGTCCTGCAGGGATTTCCAGTTGACCCTCCAAACACATGATAGTGTTCATTCCTCGAAGCATGAATTCATATGGGCCCAACTCCCTGGGTAAGAACAACTTCTGGGTTTATAGCAATATAACAAGCAGAGTATGAGGTAGGGGCCAGAGGCAGGGCTAGGAGCTATCCATGGTGCCAGCAGAACTCTAGTAAGGAAAGGCCTTTTGGATAGTAATTAATCAGTTCTAAGAATCATAGGTTTAGAGCTGAAAGGGACCTTAGAGGTCTTCTATTTCAATCCCCTCATTTTACAGAGGAGGAAATTGAGGCACAAAGAGGTGAAATGACATGATCAGGATCAGCAGCTATTAAGTGACAAAGCTGAGATTTGAACTGAGATCCTCTAGCTCCAAAGCTCTTTCCACTGTGAGAGTATGACCCAATCGTAAAAATAAAGTCAGTAGTGCTAACCCTTAGACGAAACTGAGAGCAGCAAGGGAAAGTAAGGACAACAAAAAGGTCTGAGTTTTTCAAGCTATAAGTATAGAAAAAAAAAAAGAAAGCTCAAGGAAGGACAGAACTACCAATAGAAAGAAGGCAGAGCTGTTTAATTTTGATCTGTCTTCTGTCTACTCTGGGAAGGAGAAGGGCCTTTAAAGGGAAAGTAACAGGACAAAGATGACAAAAGACAGGTGCTACCTAAGAGAAATAAGGGAATATAAGAAAGCACCTAGTCCTCCTGCGATTTAACCAATCACTTGGCCCAGATGAACTATATTCTCTGATACTAGAAGAGCTGACATTTACCATTTCAAAGTCACAGTACCACAAAATTGGAGAATGCCAGAAGAGTATAAAAGTCTTCTAAATTCAGAAAGAAATAAAACTCTAAGGGAATAGGGAGAGGGAGAGGATAAGGGAGGGATCTCTAGAGGGGAGAGTGAGGGAATAGGTCAAAGGGAGGTATAAAAGGGTGTTTAGATTTATGGGAATGGGAGGATAAGGGAGGGATCCTGGGGGGGTAGGTTAAGTAATAGAAGGGCAAGGTAGTGGGTAGAAGCAAAGTATAACAGTCAGGAGGGATAGGAAACGAGATATGCACCAACATAAAAACAAAGATCAGGAGTAGAATTTGTTAGGGAAATATATGTTTATATATGTATGTATATATGTATATGGGTATGTATATATCTATGTATAAATATATCTGTGCTTAATTGTAGCCTTGGCGGGGGGGAGGAGGGAGGAAAAAAGAACAAAGTAAAAAGCGCATAGCAGAGAACAAAAGAAAACTTACAAGGGAACAAAGAAAAGATGGACAGTTTTCAACACAATCTGTAGTATTTATTACATAGGCTTTCTTGAAATGGAAATTTATTGCTATATATTTTGAATTTATTTATTTATTGAATTATTGAATATATATTTAATCCTCTTACCTTCTGCTATGCACATGACCTGTTTTTTCTTTTATTATTTTGTATTTAAGTTTTAATATTTAAGTTTATAATATGCTTCTTTTTCCTTTCTTATTATATATTTAAGTTTTAGTTTTTAAGTCTAAAATAAAAAAGATAAAAATAAAAACATATTAAAAAATAAAGATTGGAGAACGCCAAATGTTCCCATTTTCAAAAGAGGGAAGAGAAGTATAGACCACTGAGCTTGACTTTGACTTCAGTGAAAATTCTATAATAGATCATTCAAGAGATGATTGGCAAACACCTAGAGAAGGAAATGATGAGAACAGGTTATGCCAGACTAACGTCATTTTCTTTTCTCAAAGGGTCACTTGACTAGAGGATAATAGGTATACTGTGGAGACAGTTTATCTGATCTTACCAAAGCTTTTGATTAAGTTCCTATTCTTGTGAAGAAGATAGTTTGTCTTCTGACCTCCAATTTCACATCTCCAACTGTCTTTCAGACATCTCAAACTGGATGTCTAGGAGACATCTGAAACTCTTTACTACATCCAAAACAAGAACTCATTATCTTTCCCCTTAAGCCCTACTTTACTTATTATTTTAGAGAGTGCCACCATCCTCCTGGTCCCTCAGGCTGGCAACCTAGGTATCATCCTGAATCCCACACTCTCACTCCCCAGATCTAGGCTGTTGCCAAGGCCTATTGATTTCACCTTTATAGCATCTCTCAAATATGCTTCCTTCTCTTCTCATTCATTGCCCCCACCCTGGTGCAGGCCCTCAACACCTCACCCTTGGACTTTTGCAAAAGCCTTTGGGTGGGTCTGCCTGCATCCGGTCTTTCCCCACTACAGGCATGAGCAACCAAGATGGTGAAAGGCTTTAAGTCCATTTCATAGGAAGATCTACTGAAGGACTTGGGCACGTTTAGCTTGAAGAAGGGAACACTCGGGGGATCATGCAGAGCAAGGGTTAGATCTGTTTTGTCTAATGAGAAGGGCACAACCAGGAGCAATGAGGAGTTGCAAAGAGGGTAATTTAGGATTGATATCAGGACACACTTTGTAACAAAAGTGGAAGAGCTGCTGTGAGAGGTGGTGAGATCCCCACTCCTGGGAGCCCTTCAAGTGGCCTTTGGAGGACCACTTGCTGGATCTGTTATAGTGGGAACTGGACTCAGTGGCACACTGAGATCATTTCCAATTCTCCAATTCTATGATTCTTCTTCTTATCATCATCATCATTATTAAATGCTCCTTGGCTACACTTATTAATCCTGAGTTTACTTACATGTGAGAAAGAGCATGGTCTCATTCATACGGATGGTCTGAGGCTTGATGCCCAAGTCCACACTAGCAGTATCCAAGCTGCGCTGATTGGTCTTGGAGTTGTAGCAAGATGCTGAGCGGCAGTGATCTCTGAGCCAAACATAATCAAATCTCATCACCGTGCCAGCATAGCGTAGTTCTGGGAAAGAGACAGAGAATATTGACAACAGAGAAATTTATTTGGCAAAATTGACAATTCAGAGGTTCAGAAAGTAATCCACAGCCCAACCAGAGACCATCAAGGTGAAGATCCTAGAGCACATTTATGGATACCCTAAAAACCTTATCTTCTCAAGCTGGCTTGCAGGCAGGAGAAAGGTTGAGATGAGCATTACCAAGGTGTGGATGTCTTTTCCTCCCAAAAGCCTGGGGCCCTGTCATATGTGGCTTTAGTACCATAGCTTTTTTTCATATTCTTTCTTGTCCCGTCCACTCTTGTATTGACAAAGGCACTTTATAGTTTACCATGTCTCTGAAGTACCAGAACATATGGCCCTCAATTCAAGTCAATCAGCATTTATTGAGTGATTGTGATAAGTTTGATTTATTGAGTGTAATAGGCCATGTGAATACTAGTGGGCGTACACAAACAAAAATGGCAAAAAAAATATGTATATATGTGAATATATGTATATGTGTATATGTGTGTACATATATTTATTTACCAGCTTTACATACAAACATATATGTATATGTGTATATATATGTATATATGTGTGTATATATATATACATATGTATATATACAAAATAATATATGTATAAATACAAAATAACTTTCAGGAAGGTGGGAAGACACTGACTTTGGAGGGTGCTTTGGAGGAAGTTAGTGATTCCACTAGGCAAGGATGAGGAAAGCCTGTACAAAGGTTCCCAAGTGGGAAGACCCATAGGCTCCTGTACTTAGAAAGCACCTCATAACACCACTGGGCACATCAGTTGACAACATGGAATCCTTGCTTCACCTTACAGATCCTGGGCCCTGGTGGTGATTTGGGAAATCTCTGTGACACAGCAGTAATGAAGACAAGGCCTTCATAAGCTCTAAACAGTTCTACTGGATCACCCCATAGCAGAGGTGAAGAGCACTGACCACCTACTGATGCCAGGCTCCACTAACTTTTAACTCCTGCCCTAAAACACTGACTTCTGCCTGCTAGTCCCCACCTTCAACTGCATGAGTTTGAGGTGTATGGGAAGTGAAGCTGCTTGGATCTGATTCTTCCTTTGCATGCCAAGCTCATATGCTTGCTGCTTCCCCTGCCCTGGCCAAGCCATCTCCACTCCCAAGTCATGGTTCAAAACCAGCCTCCAAACACCTAATTAATCCTATATCACTTTACAGAAATGATGTGCTGTACAGATGCTGTATTAGTTTATTCCATCCACAAATACTGAATGAACACCTATAATGTGTAAGACCCTCCACAAGGTGCCATCAGGAATACAATTCAGTTCAACTCAATAAACATCTGTGCCAGGCCCTCTGTTGGGCCATGGGAATGCAGAATCAAAGACAAAAAATAGGCCCTGCCCTCATTTTTTTTTGTTTGTTTGTTGAGTCATTTTCAGTCTGTCTGATTCTTTGTGATCTCATTTAGGGTTTTCTTGGCAAAAATGCTGGAGTGGTTTAATGTTTACTTCACGAGCTCATTTTACAGATGAGGAAACTGAGACAAACAGGGTTAAGTGACTTGCCCAGGGTCACACAGCTAGTAAGTGTCTGAGGCCAGATTTGAACTCATGAAGATGAGTTTTCCTGATTCCAAGCTCAGTGCTCTGTCCATTGCACCACCTAGCCCCTAATTCATATTCTACCAGAAGTAATATAAGATTCCACAGATAAGAAAATACAGGAGAATTGGAATATGGTGAGAGTATCAACAAGAAGAAGACTCAGAGAAAGCACCTGAACTGAACTTGGAAAATTTTGAGAGGTAGAGCATAGGAGAAAGCTTGTGTAAATGCATGGAGGTGGGAGATAACATGTAGATTCTATAGTCCAGTTTGGCTGTAACACAAACTACTAAAGGCATTGAGATATGACATATGAGATAAAGCTAGAAAGTTAGATTGAAACCAGATTCTGTAGGGTCTTAAAAACCAGACTAAGGGTTTGTATATGGCCCTAGAGGCAACAAGGAACCACTGAAGAATCTTGAGCAAGGGAAGGCCATGGTTAGAGATGTGCCTTAGGAAGGTGCTTCTGGCAGCTGAGTGGAGGATGGATATAGCAAGATTGATTAGGAAGCCATTACAATTGCCCAAGTGAGAGGGGATGAGAGTCCAGACATGATGCCTGGGTCTCCAAGAAGCTCATTAGACAAACCAGTAATGTTATGCCATACAAGTGGCACCACGTCAATACTCTTGGGGTACTGAGCAGGGAGAACAGGAGGGAAGGCATTGAAGACATAGCCATGTGAGCTGTGCCTTAAAGACTAGGCAGTAGTTTGAGAGGTTGCAATGAGCAGGGCATTCCAGGCAAAGGCAATCACAGAAGCATATGTTGGGGGGAATGCTGAGCTAATCAGCTTAACTAAGGTATGATTTGTGGAAGGGAGTAAGAGAGAATCTGAATGGAAAGTCAGGTTTTTGCATACTTATTGGGTGTAGATCTGTGTACCAGAAGACAAACAGATACAAGGCAAGCCTTCTGAGAACTTACAGACTATCTTAGGAAGAAAAAACCTTCCTATAAAGTTAATTTAGAACATCGATCACCAAATGCTCCCCTGTTCCAAAGCTTGCAATGGCTCCCTATTGTACATGTAGTATATAGTGACTTCATTTGCCTGGGCGTTAGTTTGCTTATCTAAAACAAGGTGACAATAACCCTTCTACCAATGAACCCACAGAAGTCATTTGGGGCAGAGATTGAGACTGATGAACTATAAATTGCCAAATTGGATTTATAACAAATAGGGATACAAGGATGGTTCAACATTAGAGAAATAATCAAAATGCATCATCTTAAAAATCAAATACAAAACCACATGATTATCTCAACAGATGCAGAAAAAGTCACTGAAGAAATACAACACTCTTTTATTCTAAAAGCCCAGCAAAGTATAGGCTTAGAGGGATATTTTTTCAATATCATAAAAAGTATCTATCTAAAACCAAAAGCAAGTATTGTGATGTATGTGATGTGAATGCACTAGAAATTTATCTGATAAAAATGAGAATAAAGCAAAAATATTCATTCTCTCCATTATTATTTGATATGGTTCTAGAAATGCCAGCAACAGCAGTGAGACAAAAGAAAGAAATTAAAGGCACCAAGATGGGAAAAGAAAAAACTACCCCTTTTTGTTGATTTGTAAAGGGAATACTAGGAAAATCCTAGAGAATCAGCAAAGATAATAATGAGACAAGCTCACTGGACAAACCAGTAATGTTATGCCATATAAGTGGCACCATGTCCATACTCTAGGGAAATTGAACAGGGAGAACAGGGCATTGAAGACATGGTCATGTAAGCTGTGCCTTAAAGACTAGTAGGCAGTAGTTTGAGAGGTGGAAATGAGGAGGGCATTCCAGGCAGAGGTAATCATGGAAGCAGGCTACCAAAAAACTCTCAAAAATCAACTGCATTTTCTATGATAACTAACAAAATCTAAGAGGTAATATAAGAAAGGGAAATCCCATTCCAAATATCTACAAAATTCATAGCATAAAAAAGACTTGTATAATAAAAGTGTCAAATGCGCAGCCTGCAAAACCCCCAAGTAAAGCTCAAGCCAGATAAAAATGTAAGTGGGAAATGTTTAGTAACATAAATAATGCTAATCTGTGATTTTCTAAGTCAGCATGCAGCCTAGTTTCTATTTGGGCTTGATTCCACTGTTGTCCACATTCAATCACAAAGCCCTCCTTAAAAGAAATAATGAGCAACTTAAATATCTGGAGGAATATTCAGTAATTATGTCTAGGCCTGGCCAATATCCTAAAAAGGAGACACTAATTTACACTTTGAATGCTATACCAATGAAAGTATCAAAGAGACAGAACTCGATAAAATGAAAACAAAAATCATTTGGAAAAACAAAAAATCTAGACTATCCAGGAAAATGATGAAAAGGAGAAATAGCACCTCCATATCTCAAACTATATAATAAAGCATCAGTCATCAAAATCATCTGACATTGGTTTAAAAAAAAGAAACTAGAGATAAAGAGAATAGACTATAGAGGGAGAATCAGAAACAATGAGTCTCAATAACCCAGTGTTTGATAAAGCTCAAAACATAAATTACTTAGGACAAAAAACCTCCCTATATGATGGAAACTTTGGAGAAAACTAAAAATTTGTGTGGCAAAAATTAGGCTTGAAATAGCACCTTGCGCCATAATCCACAATGTATTCTATTCTTTAAAAGTTTTTGTTTATATTTTCTGTTTATCACAAGTATCCCTTACTCTCCCACTCCCAGAGCCACACCATATGACAAATAGCATTTTTTTTAGAAAGGAAAAGAAAGTCAGTATAACTAGTCGATATATTGAAAAAGTCTGAAAATGTGGATTCCCCTCCAATTCCACCAAGAGGCAGATGGAGGTGTTTCCTCATCTCTCTTCATTCAAGTCCCACTTAATGTTTATAATTTTGCTACATTTACTTCTGACTTTTAGGTGTGTCCTCATTCTTTCCATTTACATCATTGTAGTTACCGTGTATATTGTTTTCTTGGCTCTGATGAATTCAGTGGGCATCAGTTCATATAGATCCCTGAGTGCTTCTCTGTATCCATTACATATATCATTTCTTACAGTACAGAAATATTCCATTACATTCATGTACTTTGTACATTCAAGTAATTTGTTTAGCCATTCCCCAATTGATGGGCATCTACTTTGTTTTCAATGCTTAGCTATCACTAAAAAGGCTGCTATAAATATTTTGGAGTATATGGGGACTTTTTTCTAATTGATGGCTTACTTGGGGTATATGCCCAGTAATGGAATCGCTGCGACATTTTAAGTGACTTTATTTGCATAATTCCAAATTGCTTTCCAAAATGGTTGTACCATTTCATAGCTCCACAAACGATGTATTCATGTGCCCATCTTTCCACAACCCATCCAACGTTAACTGTTGACATTTTTTGTCATTTTTGCCAATTTTCAGAGCGTGAAGT